CTCTCTGTGTGTCTCCCTCTCTTCGTCTCTCCTGCTCATGTTTGTTCTCTCTGTCCCAAAATAAATAAACGCTGAAAAAAAAAAATTCTAAAATGACTTTTGCAAACTAATCAAATGATTACTGTTTGTGTAGAGAGGATGGATGCGAGACTTTTTAATTTTATTTTTTCTTAAATTAAAGAACTTACACATTGTATAGTCTTGGTTTCAGAGCATTTCAGGGGAGACAAAAAATAATCTAGTCACCATTGGTAGTTCTTTTTCCCTACTTTCTATGGGTAGAGCAACACTTTCTGCTGGGAAACAAAACTGCAACTTGTTCAGAAAACGCGGCACACACCTCCTCCCAAAACAGAATGCAGCCACTATCTGTGACAAGTAAAGATTAGCATTATCTTTGAGCTTTCTACTACAAATTGTCTTGAAGGAGCTTTTCCAAAAAAATCTGCTTTTCAAAGGGCCAGTAACACTGGGGAAAAATAATGACACAACCTTTAAATACACACATTTAAATAAAGATATAATTTAAGTTATATGTTTTAGAATAATAAGTTACATTTCCCTCAGAAATGTAAAATGAAAGTGATAATGCTGAAATTTTTTTCTGACACTTCCAGTAGAGTTACTCCAGAAGGTCACCTGTAATTTTTAAGAGATGGTTGAGGAGGCTGAAAAGCCAATTCTGCTTAAACTGTTACAGTGCTAAGGGTGCCCCATCCAGGGTCCGAGAATCCATTCCATATGGTTGTACAGGTTTTGGTTAAGGACATTCAGCTGCTGAGGGAAGTGCACGAGCTCAAATCCAGGTTTGTTCTTATTCTCCAGGCCGCACGCCTCTGGGTGACTTCACTCGCCTTGGCAGCAAAGGCACCTTATTTTCTTGGTTCAAAGGCACAACCAACTAGCCACGGCTCACCTGCTGAGGTGCTCCTCCTCTAATTCCACAAAGTGACCCTTCCAAGACTTGCAGTGTCTTTTATGAATCCCCCCCAGTCACAAGTGGTTCAAAATTAACTTCCAGCCCACACGGCCATATGGTCATATTGTGAAAGCAATCAATCCATGCTATTTACTTCACTTTTCCCCCAGATGTATTTGCATTGTCTATCCCCTGCCTTACATCTTCCTCCAAAGCAAATCCCCAAAATGGAAAAGCACACCTATTAATGATGCAGTGTCTGCTTATGCCTGATCACTGAAAAAAGAAACTGTGATCATGGAGCAGCTAGTAGGTGAGTATTATAAAGCCTTTGTCTTCCAGAATGGATTATAAAACATTTAAACTGACTTTCCTCTTTTTGATATATAGTATTTCTTCATGCTGGCAATATGAAAGATTTTAGGTAAAGATGAACTCCACTTGAATACCATCACATGAATATCCATCCACGAATATTGGGGCAACACTCAGGAAATGAAAACAGAACTGTGAACCACGTGCAGAGCAAAATATCAGGCTGAGCTAATCCCCTGTAACGCTTTCCATTAAAAAGGTAAAATAAAAGTCTGATAATATGGTAAGTCTCTAAAAACAACTGAAAATAAAAAAAACAAAAGATCAAGAGAAAGAAATGTAAATAATTGGTGCACTTTCCCTCTAAAAAAATAGATCAGAGGCATAAACAGTTGATTACATAGTAGCAAATAAAAGAAGCAACAGCAATGACTCAGACAATCCCAACATTTCTTTTCAGAGCATCTGCTTTATACAGATACATCATTCCTCAGGAGCGAGAAAAAAAACGAGAGCGCAAAACAAAGCAAGGAGGATCCCAACGTAAATGAAGCAATAGCTAGTTTCCTCTCTTTTTTTTGGGCTACAAGGAGAAGCACCACAGCCCTACATTTTAAAATGCCTTGAGCAGAAATCCAACACATTATTTAGAAAAATCATGTTATTTTATAGCCTTATCTTCTCTCTCCTTTGTAGCAAGTGCAAAGCAGAAAATTTAAAACATTCCGTGTGTATATAAACAGTAATTTTAAATTTATTACAATTTTTCTATCTTTACTAATTTTCACACCACTTGAGAAAAGTTAGTAAATGTAAAAAGTAAAAACACACTGAAACAAAAGTCCTATGTCTTCACCCAGAGACAATTTTTTTATATTATGGTACATCTTTTTCTTTATTTTTTCTACAAAATTTATTTTTTATTTTTATTTACTTTCTTTTTCTTTTTCTTTCTTTATTTTTTGAGAGACGCTCATGAGAGTGGGGCAGGGGCCATGAAAGAAAGAGGGAGACAGAGAACTTAAACAGGCTTCATGGCTATGTCACCTCAGAGCTAACGTAGGCTCAAGTCGCTGAACTGCAGGATCATGACCGAGTCAAATCAAGTCAGATGCTTAACCGACCGAGCTACCCAGGCGCTTCAAGATTTGATTTTTTAACATTGGGTAGACGGGGTTATAGATAGTATTTTATATTCAGCTTCTTCTTTATTTTTTCATCACATGAATTTCTGCGTCGTTAATAAGTGTTTTGTAGGGAATCTTTTTAATAGCTGTAAAGTTAATGCCAGCATTGTGCTAATAACAAACCATATAACCAAATTACACTGCATATTTATTTATACTCAACATATAAATTTATAAAATAGTCATTTATAATTAAACAGCAGCTACAACTAATTCAACAAGAGGGATCTTTTATATGCCATTTTTTGGATTTGGGCTTTATTTTTTAAAATTCTAATGGATTTCAAAGAAGGCTTTTACTTATACTCTCCAGGAACATATGAGGCAATCACAATTGTATCTCATCATCACTAATGCAGCACTTAGAAAAACAATAATCAGATATAAGAAAGAAAATACTTTCACAGTGAAAGATCTTTTAGTCTCTTAGATGATCACTTAAAAATAAAAACATTTTTAATGATTAATGCAGGCTTACCACTATTGAATCCTTCTAGAAGAAAGATGTAGGTTACCTTGTTTTGCATGGCTAACATACATGAATTTCAGTCACCATGGTTTGTTGTCGACATCAGTACCCCAATGACACGAAACCCAACTTCAGTTACTACAGCTGCATTGATCAGAGTAACTGCATAAAGCACAAACTTTGCTGCTAACTTGTTAGTCGGTGATCACCAGGGTATATGATAGCTGCCATTGTGGTCAGTGATCCAACCTGTCATTTTCTCACAAAGTCCAAGAAGGGACTGGGTATTGGATGGCATTTATAGTTCATGGACAGACAACACAGGGTTGTAGCTAGTGCTGCCTCCTCCTGGGTAATAGCATATGACATTTTATAAAAACTGGACAATCGCAGAGGGAGCTTTGGCCAGAAACGAAGAGAAAAGAAAGAAATGAAAAGTGATGACACTAGAAGTGAAATTCCAATCAAACGAATTGAGTTACATACAGAAAAAAAAAAAAAGCACTAACTAGAATGCTAATACTGCTGTTTGGCCAAAAAACCCTCCTTATCTGCTGCCATCTTTCATACATCTCCTGAGATATTTCACGACATTGGAAGTACAGATAAAATGTACAAAAGTTGATTCAAAACTTGTGAAGGAGTGTGACTATTGAACAAGGCACAGAAAAGATGCTTACTTATGGATCTTAAGGTTTCTGAAGAATGGTGAAGACATGCACAGCCTAAACTTACTCTGATAAGGACTTTTACAACAAAAATAAAGCTTTTTATTCTCAATGTTTGTTTTAATTTAGCATGCTAAATAAATACTGGTTTATTTTTTCTTTTATCATTCACTCAAACCAAGAGAAGAGAGGTTTTATAGGTTGCTAAAAAGACTACAGAACAATCCTCATTTTTCCATTGATTAAGAAGACTTACATGATTCCCCCCCTAGCCTGTATGGTCATTTTTATGGTCCCACACTAACATGCAAACTGAAGACTGTCTGTATATATAAGGACCATGTAAAATCTGGGGTGAACTCACCAAAGTATCAGTTCCCCTGATCTTCTCTCCATTTACAACTACATGATACTAAATTCGTACACGGGTGATGCTGCATGTGGCTCCCTTTCTCAGATCAATGTGTGTAAAAGACAGAATGACCCTTCTCTCACACAACCCAGTGCTTCTGTGGGTTCGTGCTTGCATGGCTCTCTGTCTCAACCAGCTGAATGGTACCAGACAAAAACAAATGCCTTACTTTCTCCCTCTTAAAACCAAAATAGTTAAGGGTGAATGTAGTCTGTGTTGGTTCAACATTAAGATAAAATTACACGAACATCTGCTCAAGCTTTGACCACGAAATTGGGGGTAGCAAATAAAGAGAGAATGAGAACTGATGTAGAAAAGACATCGTGTCCCTGACACTTTGTCTGGGGGGCCAGGCACTTAAGCTAACCCTTCTGCTTTTGCCATCAGGTTTAGAGGAACACCTTGCAAAGTACCTGCTTGAATTTCCTGAGCACGCTTCACTAATATCAATCATTTACTGCTTTGCACACAGTCCCCTATAGGCTGAAACTAAAACAACAAAATCAATGTGTCCGAAGTCGGCTGCTTAACCGACTGAGCCACTCAGGCGCCCCTCAGCTTTCTTAGTTTTGACAACTATTTGTCACACATCCATTTGCCTTCCACGCTCCAAAATTTTGTTGCTGTTGTCTCTTCTCCCCTTCTCTGCCTCCCTGTGGATACATGAATTCTAAAAAAAGATCCAGTTAGTGTCATTTTAGTGGGATTTCAGAAGGAAGTAAAAGAAGATGTATATATTTAATCCACTGATTTTACCCAGGAGTTCTCACTCACTTTCCTTAGTAGGAAAGAAATGCAAACCAAACCCTGCAAGGTATTACTGACCCATTAAATATAGCTCCAGCAACTAAAGTCAACTAATTCTCATCTTTTCAACCCTCTTGTGTCAGGATTTACTCAGTCACCTCTCTGGGCTAGATTCCATGTCGCCTTGCTAACATGCATGGGAACTGAAAACCGAAGTGATTCTACACGGCAGTCCTCAAAAGTAAGATGAATGATGTTCTCATGGAAAGAGGTAGAGCATTACCTGCAGTTTAATGTTCTTCCCTGCTGCACAACCAAAGTAGATGTGATTTCACCATCAAGTTCCCCAAGCCTTGGGATGTTACCAACATTGGTGCACAAAAGGTAACCACAAAGCACATCCCTGTGTTAAAAGATAACAATTCTTTACTTCTTTCCACAAAGAGAGAACAAACCATGTATAGTTAGAACAATAATCTTATCCTGCTTTAGCGTTTTTCATGTTTGTTTACATTTTATTTGCTCAAATTACAAGCTAAATACGCCCAAATTAATTTGCCTCTCACTTTAAAAAGTGTCTTCTCGGGGCGCCTGGGTGGCGCGGTCGGTTAAGCGTCCGACTTCAATAATGACCAAGGGTCCGAGGAGTTCTTCGAGTCTCCTGCCTCTGGCTGATACAGTCTGTGTGAGCCCGGAGCCTGTTTCCGATTCCCAGCTCTCTCTCTCTCTGCCCCTCCCTGCTCATGCTCTTACCCTCTCTCTCTGTCCCAAAAATAAATAAACGTTGAAAAAAAAAATTAAAAAAAAAAAAAGTGTCTTCTCTGAAACTCCTATTAGTGCACCAAAATCCCAACTGTGTTCTAGCTTTTCCTGTACTGTCCATTAGTTCAAGTATTTGTTAAAGGAAATTACCCATCAGATAGACATCTTTTAGATCAGAATCTCTTTCTCTAGAACATATTACTGGATATGTTAAAACATTTTTTAATATTTGGTAAGTGAATAAATGATCTTTGGGTGAGTATTCTTTTGGAATACAGCTCTTTCTTTAACCTGTTGCCCCCAAATAAAGAAGAATTATGTGTGTGGGGGGTATGTGCCTGTATATATAGACACATACCCACACACACTCATGATCCCTTTTACAATATATTCCACTATTCCTCCAACTGCCACATATAATAACTAAACCTGTAAAATATTTGTACTGGTATAAAATATTATCTGACATATTTTCTGTATATAGAACATTTTAATTCCTAACATACATAATTATAAATACATATACTGATAACTATCTTGTCAAGAATGATTAGTAGACTAGCAAGATTATATATGGAAATAGGCTTTAACAGATAGAGAAAAGAGCAAAATTAGAACTTACATCTATCACTAACACAGAAAAATGCATTAATTCATCCTTAAAAAACAATTTTTAAAAGTTATTTCATTTTATCATATCTATCATAAACAAAAATGCTTTCTTAACACAGAAGAGATGGTCAACATTTTTATAAGTGTTATTTATGTGCATGGAGCTTACAAAGTACTTTAGGATATACAAAGAAAAAAAGACACGGTCAAGGAAATACACTCTCGGTGAGAAGAGAATCGCACACATAAACAAAGATAAAACAGAGAGGCTGGGACAAGGGCCACAATAATAGAACAAAAGGCCGTGGGAATTCAGAGAAGAGGGAAATGACTTTACATTTGTTTATTTATTTTGAGAGAGAAGGAGAGATGGAGAGTAAGCAGGGCAGAGGCAGAGAGAGAGGGAGACAGAGAATCCCAAGCAGTCTCCATGCTGTCAGCACAGAGCTTGACGTGGGACTCAAACCCACAAACTGTGAGATCATAACCTGGACCAAAATCAAGAATTGGATGCTTAAGTGGCCAAACTACCCAGGCATCCCGAAAATGATTTATTTCTAGAATAAACCCAGAAATAATAAAGTATGGAGAGAGGTGGGGGGGAGGGGCAGAGAGAAAGGGAAAGAGAGAATCCCAAGTAGGCTCTGCACAGTCAGTGCAGAGCCAGATGCAGGGTTCAAACTCACAAACTGTGAGCTCATGACCTGAGCCAAAACCAAAAGTCAGACACTTAACCAACGGAGCCACCCAGATGCCCCTCACTAGAAGAGTAGAATACAGCATGCCAGATCTGCTTGGCTTAAAACACTGTTAAGAGGCCTTTGTAATAGACCAAGCGTTAACATAGGTCTTAGCTGGGGTAACAGGAAAGGAATGAAAAGATGAATTAAAGACAAATGGTGGGGGAGTAAAAGGGAAGAATGGCCATGATTTGGCATTTGGACCATGTGTCAGAGGGACAGCGGCATCAAGGTCCATTGTGAGGCTTCTCAACTGGAGGACAGTGAATTATGGTGACCTCTGACAAAAACAGTGGTTTAGAAAAGTCAGAGCCAGCTAACTGAGTACATATTCTGGTGGCTTTAATTTTTGTTGCTTTTGAGATGCTAGCAGGTGCCTTCTAGGTGAGCAAGTCCTGAGGCAGCTGCAAGTGTGACCTGGGCCTTTGGGGAGAGGCCAGCATATGTGTTAAGATCTGGGAGGCTTCTGTAAGGTGGTGCTGGGATGCAGTGAAAAGATGAGGTGAGCAGGCAACTGAAAGCTCTGGAGGATGCAGAGAAGAGGAAATGGGACGCTGAAAGTAATGCTTGTAATTCACTAAGGGATAAACTCTGGACAAACTTCATCTCACCGTTTGTTGCACTGTATCCACGTATCTTTGTCTTTTCCACAGTTACCCTTCTCTGTCCCTTCGATGTTCAGTTTCTCATAGCAGTATTTGTCTGATGCCATCACCTCTGAAGCAGAATAGAGTTTTCTCTCAGTGAGGGACAGAACACGTGAGTTGCTCAAAATGTTTGCAGTAAGGGAAAGAAGCCATCTAAGGACTCTTCTTCATGACAATGTGGCCAGTTCCAAAACCTGGACCCATGGTTCTCCAGAGTTTTACTTGACCACAGACATCCTTGACTCAGCTACATTCTTCATGACTGCTCATTGGAAATTTGGAAAACCAATCTATGTCAATCTTTGATAGGATTGAAGCTATCGGTTCCAAGGAGCAACACTCCTCACAATTTGGCCAATAATTAGGGCAAGATACTACCAAGTGGTTCCCAGAATAAATACTCCACACTTTAATCTCAGCGCCAAATATAAAGCACAAATTTTTTATGTGTCAATTTTTATTAATCATAACGATGAGTTTATTAAAATAGCTATGTACTATAATTAAAGATTTAAGAAACAGTATGAATTCTACGTTGTTTATAGTTAATTCTTATAGTTAATTCTATAGTTAAGTCTATAGTTAATTCTACCTTGTTAATTCCTAACAACTATCAAAAAAAAACCACCTTAATTTTATTCTGTTCTAAATAAGCGTGAATTCATGTTAAATGTATGAGGGCCAAATAACATTTTAAACAATGTCAGTATTACAAAACTTTAATTTTGCTAAAGCCAGGGCTGGCTAATGGGATTGTCCTGTAGTGAGATCAAAAATGACTTTTGCGGGCGCCTGGGTGGCGCAGTCGGTTAAGCGTCCGACTTCAGCCAGGTCACGATCTCGCGGTCCGTGAGTTCGAGCCCCGCGTCGGGCTCTGGGCTGATGGCTCGGAGCCTGGAGCCTGTTTCGGATTCTGTGTCTCCCTCTCTCTCTGCCCCTCCCCCGTTCATGCTCTGTCTCTCTCTGTCCCAAAAATAAATAAACGTTGAAAAAAAATTTAAAAAAAATGACTTTTGCAAACTAATCAAATGATTACTGTTTGTGTATATTTTATTTTTTTTTAATTTTTAATTTTATTTTTTTCTTTAAATTAAAGTTAACTTACACACAGTATAGTCTTGGTTTCAGGAGCATTTGTGTATATTTAAAAAAATAACTAGTCACCATTGGTAGTTCTTTTTCCCTACTTCTTGCGGTGAGCAACACTTTCTTCTCAAGCGGGGGAAACAAAACTGTAACTCTGTTCAGAGTGCAAACGTGCACACACCTCCCCTCCCAAACAGAATGCAGCCACTATCTGTGACAAGTAAAGATTAGCATTATCTTTTGAGCTTGCTTTCTAATACAAATTGTCTTCTGAAGGAGTTTCAAAAAAAACTGCTTTCAAAAGGGCCAGTAACACTGGGGGAAAAATAATGACACAACCTTTAAATACACATTTAAATAAAGATATAATTTAAGTTATATGTTTTAGAAATCAATGTTACATTTCCCTCAGAAAATGTGACAAACTTTGAAAGTGATAATGCTGAAATTTTTTTCTGACACGGTAGAGCTACCTCAGCAGAAGGTCACCTGTAATTTTAAGAGAGATGGTTGAGGAAGAAAAAGCCACTCTAGCTAAACTGCTACAGTGCCAAGGGTGCCCTATCCAGGGTCCGTGTCCATTCCATATGGTTGTACAGGTTTTGCTTAAGGACATTCAGCTGAGGGAAGTGTACACGGAGCTCAAATCCAGGTTTGTTCTATTCTCCAGGCTGCACGCTCTGGGGTGGACTTCACCTGCCTGGCAGCAAAGGCACCTTATTTCTTGTCCAAAGGCACAACCAACTAGCCACGTGCCTTTCAAGGGAGGTGCTCCTCTCTAATTCCACAAAAGTGACCCTTCCAAGACTTGCAGTGTCTTTGAGAATCCCCCAGTCATAAAGTGGTTCAAAATTAACTTCCAGCCCACACGTCATATGGCCTCATATCATATTGTGAAAGCAATCAATCCATGCTATTTACTTACTTTGCCCCCAGATGTATTTGCATTGTCTATCCCTGGTTTTACATCTTCCTCCAAAGCAAATCCCCTAAAATGGAAAAGCACACCTATTAATGATGCAGTGTCTGCTTATGTCGGATCACTGAAAAAGAAACTGTGACTGCGACAGCTAGTAGGTGAGTATTATAAAGCCTTTTATCTTCAGAATGGATTACAAAACATTTAAACTGACTTTCCTCTTTTGATAAGATTTCAGTATTTCTTTCATGCTGGCACACATGAAAGATTTAGGTAAAGATGAAGTAACCTACCTGAATACCATCACATGAATATCCATCCATTTTATGAATATTTGGGGCACACTAGGAAATGAAAACAGAACTGTGAACCACGTGCAGAGCAAAATATCAGGCTGAGCTAATCCCTGTAACGTTTCCATTAAAAAAAGGTAAAATAAAAGTCTGATAATATGGTAAGTCTCTTAAAACAACTGAAAATAAAAACAAAAAAGATCAAGAGAAAGCAAAAGGAAATGTAACAATTGGTGCACTTTCCTCTAAAAATATGCATCTACCAGAGGTATAAACAGTTGATTACATAGTAGCAAATAAAAAGAAGCAACAGCAATGACTCAGACAATCCCAACATTTCAGAGCATCTTGCTTTATACAGATACATCATTCCTCAGAGCGAGAAAAACGAGAGCGCAAAACAAAGCAAGGAGGATCCCAACGTAAATGAAGCAATAGCTAGTTTCCTCTTTTTTTACCATGAGAAGCACCACAGCCCTTACTCTTAAAATGCTCCTTGAGCAGAAATCCACCTAGCGCACATTAGAAAAATCATGTTATTTTATAGCCTTGGTTTTCCCTTGTAGCAAGTGCAGAAAATTGTAAAACATTCCTGTGTGGCTATAAACAGTAATTTTTAAATTTATTACACATTTTTTTCTATCTTTAATAATTACACACTCACTTGAGAAAAGTTAGTAAATGTAAAAAAAGTAAAAACACACAAACAAAAGTCTCATGTTCCCACCACCCAGAGACAATTTTTTATATTATGGTACATCTTTTTCTTTACATTTTTCTACAAAATTTTATTTTTTATTCTTTATTTACTTTCTTTTTCTTTCTTTCTTTATTTTTGAGAGAGACGGCTCATGAGAGTGGGGCAGGGGCGGAAAGAAAGAGGGAGACAGAAAATCCTAAACAGGCTTCACAAGGTCACCTCAGAGCTCAACGCAGGGCTCGAAGTCATGAACTGTGAGATCATGACCGGAGCCGAAATCAAGAGTCAGATGCTTAACCGACTGAGCCACCCAGGCGCCCCCAAGATTTGATTTTTTTAAACACAGGTATGTAATCAAGTTATAGATAGTATTTTATATTCAGCTTCTTCTCTTTATTTTTTCATCACATGAATTTCCTCATGTCACAATAAGTGTTTTTGTAGGGAATCTCTTTAATAGCTGTAGTACGTTGCATTGTGCTAACAAACCATATAACCACCATACTGCATTATTCATTTATAATTATAAAATATTATAAATTTATAAAATAGTCATTTATAATTAAACAGCAGTTTATGCTGTTACAACTAATTCAACAAGAGGATCTTTATATGCCATCTTTGGATTTGGGCTTCTTTATTTTAAAAACTCCTACTTAATGGATTTCCAAAGAAGTTGCTTTAATATACTCCCCCTCCAGGAACATATGAGGCAATCATTAATTGTATCCTCATCATCACTACGTGTTAACTTAGAAAAACAATGCTAATCAGATAGTAAGAAAAGAAAATACTTTCATATGAAAGATCTTTAGTCTCTTAGGATGACTACCTTTAAAATAAAACATTTTTAATGATTAATGCAGGTTTACCACTATTGAATCCCTCTTCTCTAGAAGAAAAAGATGTAGGCTGTCCTTGTTTTGCATGGCGCCAATATACATGAATTTCAGTCACCATGGTTTTGTTAAATGACATCAGTACCCCAATGACACGGTTCCAACTTCAGTTACCACAGCGTATTGACTGTGAGTAACTGCATAAAGCACAAACTTTGCTGCTAACTTGTTAGTCGGTGATCACTAGGTATATGATAGCTGCCATTGTGGTCAGTGATCCAACCTGTCATTTCTCACAAAGTCCGCAAGGGACTGGTACTCGCCTGGATGCATTTATAGTTCATGCACAGACAACACAGGTTGTAGCTGTGCTGCCTCTCTGTCTCTGGGTAATAGCACATGACATTTTATAAAACTGGACAATCGTAAGAGGGAGCTGGCCAGAAACGATGAAAGTGCAGAAAAGAAATGAAAAGTGATGACACTAGAAGTGAAATTCCAATCAAACGTAAATTGAGTTACAGAAAAAAAAAAAGCACTAACTAGGAATGCTAATACTGCTGTTTGGCCAAAAAAAACCCCTCCCATTCACATCTTCACATCTCCTGGAGATATTTCACGACATTGGAAGTACAAAGGATAAAATGTCAAAAGCTGATCCAAACTTAGAAGGGAGTGTGATCATTGAACAAGGCACAGAAAAGATGCTTACTATGGATCTTAAGGTTTCTGAACAGAAGACATGCACAGCTCAAACTACTCCTGATAAGGACTTTACAACAAAAATAAAGCTTTTAATTCTCAATGTTTGTTTTAATTTAGCATGCTAAATAAATACTGGTTTATTTTTTCATTTCCTTATTCACTCAAAACCAAGAGTAAGAGAGGTTTTAGTAGGCTGGCAACATTTTTTAAAGATCACAGAACAACTCTCATTTTTTCCATTGATTAAGAAGACTTTACATGACTTCAGCCTGCATGGTCATTTTTATGGTCCCACACTACCATGCAAACTGAAGACTGTCTGTATATATAAGGACCATGTAAAATCTGTGAACTCTCACCAAAGTGTATCAGTTCCCGCATCTTCTCCATTTACAACTACATGATACTAAATTCAAGAGCAGGTATTAATGGGTGAGGTGCTGCATGTGGCCTCAGATCAACAAAAGACAGAACAGACCCCTTCTCACAACCCAGTGCTCTGTGGGTCTCTGTGCCTTGGCTGGCTCCTGTCTCAACCAGCTGAATTGAAAATTAGACAAAAAAACAAATGCCTTTTACTCTCTCCTTAAAACCAAAATAGTTAAGGTATGAATGTAGTCTTAGGTTAGTTCAACATTAAGATAAAATTACACGGAACATCTGCTCAAGCTTTGATCACGGAAACTTAAATTCCCAGAAGTAAATAAAGAGAGAATGAGAACTGATGTAGAAAAGACATCGTGTCCCTTGACACTTTGTCTGGGGGCCAGGGCACTTAAGCTAACCCTGCTTTTTTGCCATCAGGTTTAGAGGAATGATTCTGTAAAGTACCTGGCTTGAATTTCCTGAGCACGTTTCACGAATATCGCAATCATTTACTGCTTCTCGGCACACAGTCCCCATAGGCTGAAACTAAAATGAACAAAAATCAATGTGTAAAACTGTTGAAGAAAAAAAATCTCTCACAGTATCTATCGTCTTAAAAAAAAAAGCAACATGAATATTTTTGGATAAGAATATTTTAGGCTGTTTTAAGATGGTAGTCTGAAGACCACAGTTACTGAATGAAACGTTCATTTAGTAAGTTTTCAGAGAGAGTTTCTCTTGTGTGAAAGAATTTGCATACTCATCACACAGAAGTCTTACAACATCTACTAAAATAGGGTACATCTTGATGGTACCTCTCCCCAGAAGGACAAGTCAGTCCATGTTCTACTAATTCTCCCTCTCAAAAAGGTTTTGGATTTACACTTTCCTCTTCATTTCTTACTGGCACCCTTGTCACATTACTCTTCTTTGGCTTATCTGCCAAGAATCTGAATGTTACATTCCGGGCTGAATTGCATAAGTTAGATTTTCTGGCAAAGCAATTTCTTCCCATACTGTCCTTTATCTCCTGCCTCATTTTTATATAGATCTATGGCTTGGTCTTTTATTCTTGTCTAATGTTCTTGTTATTTGTATACCTGTGTATGGGAAGAGTCTTTCCTCTTTGTTTGTTTTTGCTTTTTCTTTTCTCTATTTTCAACTACCTCAAATATTTCTCATAAGTATAGGGGTTACAAATAAAATTTTAAACTCACTGAATTTATAAATTGCTAGAGTCTTTATCCTCACAAAACAGATACACAAAGTCATCTTCCTTCTCTCCTCTTCCATACTATTCTCTTTCCCTCTCCAAAATGCTAACAAATGCTATGCTTTTATGTCTACTCACACAAACACACACTCGATGTGGGCCCCTCCCTCCCCCACTAACTTCCATTTTCTCTGCCTTGCTCACAACCCTCCAAGCACTTGAGTTTCCTATTGTTCCTAGAATATGAACAGCCCACTCCAATCAGGATTTCAACAGTATTTCTTAGAAGATCGAAACAAAATTTGTATTCATTTAGTTACCAAGTATTTACTAGGCACTTAACATGTGCCAGGCACATTCTAGTCACTGGGGATTCAGTGGAGGAAAAAAAAGCACAAGAATCCTGCTTGCAAGGAACTCACATTTTAGTGGGAGTAAATAGGCCATGAAAATAAGGAAATAAACAAGTAATTTAAATTCATATACTCTGGTTCTTATCCTTCCAATTTCTTGGGATTGAGGTAAGTAAGCCACAATTTTAGAACATTCTCAGGTACAAATATAAGCAGATTTAAGATGGAGTTTATATGAGAGTGTAAATGTTCTAGAACTGCCAAGAAACTTCTGAAAGAAAGCCCAGTGAAGGACAGTTTGCTCTAAGTGCTGGGATATGCAGTAGCTAAAGTGACCCAAATCCCTGCCCTCTTGAAACTTACCACTGAGTAAAGAAAAATAATAAGTCAATGGGCAATGTTTTAGAGCAGGGGTTGGCAAATTATAGCTTGAGGACAAAAAGTGGCTGTCCATCTGTTTTATTGGAACATAGCCATGCTGATTTGTTTCCATATTTTTTTACAATATTTTAAAAAAGTTTATTTATTTATTTTGAGAGAGAAGGAGACAGCGTGAGCAGGGGAGGGGCAGAGAGAGAAAGGAAGGGAGAGGATCCTAATCAGGCGCCCTGCTGTCAGCACAGAGCCCAACGTGGGCTCGAGCTCATGAAGCTGTGAGATCATGACCTAAGCCAAACCCAAGAGTTGGACACTTAATCGACTGAGCCACCTAGGTGCCCCTTGTTTCTGTATTTTCGATGGCTGCTCTCAAAGGTAGAGTTGAGTAACTGAGACAGAGAGCTTATGACCCACAAAGCCTTAACTATTTACTACTTGACCCTTTACCTAAAATGTTTGCCAACTCTGACTTATAGATACTTTAGCATAAATACATACAGGGAAAACAGAGATACACAGGACTTCTCATCCTGTTTTTCTGTTCTCCCTCCTCCATTCACTATCCTGCCTCTGGCTCCTCCAGGAGGGTAGGGTGGGAGTAAGAGCTGGAGGTGCAGGATAGAGAGAGTGGCAAAAAGCTCTTACTTGACTGGTGTAACTGTAGCTTACTTTGGGGGATAGTTAATCCTGACATTTTATTGTACATATTATGATTCTATTATTTTATATTTGTTCCTTGAAATATTCATATCACAAAGAGCCTAATTGTATACTTCAAAATAAAAATGGCATTTTATAAATGGGCAGACTTAAAACATCGAAGATTAAAATAAATGATGGGGGACCCATTGTTATGGCAGTTGGAGAAGCTGACAGATTATATAGTTGATGCAGCCCAAATTTAAAAATGTCTGTTTCATATTTGATTTCATATTCCTTTTTTAGAAAGTGCTTTCAGAGATCTCTGCCAGTGCCTTGCTTGTCTTAAAAAGCTGCCAGAGACATAGTGATAAAGTGGAAACAACACAAATGCTGCCAGCAGATCTGGGATGTAACTTCACATTTATTCCTTAATAGCTGAATGAGCATATGCAGGTTATATCACTTCCTTGAGACCAGGATTGCTCAACTGGAAAAATAAGGATAATAATGCCTTTCCCAAAAGTGTGGTTGTGAGCATTATCTAAGACAGCAGTCTCAAGCAGCAATGATCTTACCCCCAAGGGGACATTTGGCAATGTCTGGAAATATTTTTGGTTGTCACGGCTGGGAGGGGTGGTGCTTGTATCTAATGGGCAGAAGTCAGGGATGTTGCTAAATAACTTACAGTACACAAGGCACACCCTCAAAACAAAAGAAAAAATTATCCAGCCAAAAATGTCAATAGTGCCAGGGTGGAGAAATCCAGATACATGATGATATAACATAAAAGTGTTTACCACAATCCCCGGCACACAGTAGATACTTAGTATGATAGGTTCATATCCTACTCTCCCTTAACTCATTAGACTAACATTAGTCAATCAGCATATAATCAATAAGAGAGTGTTGCACGTATTTATTCTTCATTCAACAAATATTTACTAAGAACCTGTAGCAGTTACTGGGTAAGTACCAGGGGCACGTAGGTGGCTCAGTCAGTTGAGTGTCTGACTTTTGATTGTGGCTCAGATTATGATCCTAGAGTCATGGGATGGAACCCCATATTGGGCTCCACACTGAGCAGGGAGCCTGCTTAAGATTCTCTCTCTCTCTCTCTCTCTCTCTCTCTCTCTCTCTCTCTCTCAGCTCCTCTCCTGCTCAGGCTCTCTCTGCTAAAAAAAAAAATACATACTAAGATGTATACCAAACCTCAGAGATAATGTAGTATACTGTACCAGATTTTATATGAGAAGAGAAAAAAAAGAAATAGATTTATTTGAAAAAGATAAGCCTCAAATAACTTTTCGTCCTGATGTTAAGGCTTAAATATTTGGAGAGAGGTATAGGATGCCATTGGGAGGATGAAAACAGATAATGTGAATAAAGATGCATTCTAAACTCTCATGTGAAGTGTTATCATGTCTAAAAGTACAGCTTCTGATCTCTCAACTGCTAATGCAAGAAATATACCAAGCAGAGCAGCAAGGAAAAAGAATCTACTGAATAGCCACTTGGCTTTACAAAGAAAGGAAAAACACAATCCGAAGGTTAGGAACACCTGGCTTCATACAATGTGCATATTTCTCAGGGAGGCAGTAATAAGAAGACAAACTGAGGAGATTAACAAGGTTCAGGACCCAGCTCTGTGACTCACGTGGTACAAGACCCCAGGCACACTCGCACTTAGTCACTCAATATATCTTAGACACTACTATTGTTATTACATTATATTTACCCAGTCTTAACGATTAAATCAAATATATCCTCTTTTTTTGTCAATTAGTCATTGCTCAACATTTATTTACCTTGCATTTCTTACAACAAAGACCATCGCTGCATTGAGAGTCTTGAGTCAAGGTGCATTTCTTACAACACTCTGCTCCTTCAAGGACACATTCCTAAGGAATATAAACATTTGTAAAACATCAGAAAATCATGTCATTTTCCTGAAAGTTGCAGAATATTTTTTAAAGAAAAGTATATAGACCCCCCCCCAATAATAATCTTTCTTCCATATATCCTATGAAATTTCCAGACATAACACCAGCTCTGTATGTCTCAGTGTGTGGAATGACTCTGAATAACCTAAAAAAAAAAAAAACCATCAAAACACCCAGAGACTTACTGCAGGGGTCCCACAGTCACACTCCTCTCCAGTTTCGATGAAGCCATTGCCACATTCAGGAGGATCGAGCAGCTGCAGGATGAAACCAAAAAGACAACTACAATTTAGATAAATCAAGATCAAAGACCTTACGAGGGACCGTAAGTGCCACACCTACGCATGCGGCATACTTATCAGTCATTTCAAAGTATATTTTTATTTTCCCAAACTTGAAAGCTTAACTTTAGAATTTTAAAACTGGGAGCTTTAGAACAAAAGTGTCTACTTCTGTTTCCATTTCAGATTTAATTATATTTACATAAGTAACATACATATCAAGTCTAGTAAATTCCACCAAAATAAAGATGATCTAGCCATTGACCCTTGAAAATTTCATTTCAAAGAAGAAGCAAGAGATTTGGGGACAGAAAGTCTGTTCAAATCTTGGCTCAGCTACTTATCTTGGGCAAATGGCTTGTCATCTCTGAGCACATAGGTGCCTTAATATTTCAAGCAAGAATAATAATAATATTAGCTGCCCATCTACATCACAAATTATTGTGAGAATCAAGTTCAATTATCTGTGAAGGCCAACTAACTATATCTCCTTGTGAAATAGAGAGTTATTTCATAGACAAGTAGGAAAACATCACAAAAATTAATAAATCCATTGATTTATTTAATATTAAATAGAACTCCTCCTATTAACATAGTTTTACAGATAATGGTAATAATAATTTGCCCCAGAGATGGAAGCAACTTTTGGCCTGTACAAGAGTATATTTTAAGGCCATTTTATCTTTTAACTCTGTAACAATTACATTATCTTTTGAGCATAACTTACCTTATGGTGATAGTTAAAATTAGTAAGTAGCTGCTATGTTCCACTTACATATTACTTATTCAGAAGTTCGTCAAAGTTTATGTGTTATAGAATGGGCTGGAACACACACCTATCACATACATACACCCACACATACACTTTCTTAACTAATTAGAGGGGGGAAAACAGAATAAAAAAAGCAGCAATAACAACAACAAAACCCCCACCTGATTTCAAATATTCTCTTCTCTCCTACAAAATAATCAAAACACCTTTAGATTCTATTTTCAGTTGAAAGGGATCATAACAAATCAGACAGCTTTAAAAGCCAAACTAAAACTTATTAAGGTGAAAAACACACTTATTCTTTTACTCTGAGTTCAGAATAATCAGTTATTTTGGTAAAGAGGCTTGAATTGTTTTTCATTTATAGCAGCAGGGATTTAGATCAAATATCCCTTCTGAAGTTTTGCAACAAGTCTCACAATTATCAAGTTGCTTTTCAAGGCAATATGATACTCTTCCTAAATTTCACTGGAACAGAGAGAGAATGAAACCAGGAAAAATGATTATAAAGGCAATGCCACTCATTGCTATGGCACACAGAAGCACGGAATGGTTCACATAATTAACAAGGACAAAGCTTTCTACTGCATGCAGTTTTCCAAATGCATGAGGAAATTATTGCTTTCAAGTCAGTAACCAGAAGATGCCCTGCATGTTGGGAAAGCCTCTGACAAAGTCTAAGTACACAAAGACTTTCTCCTTTTCTGCTGTAAGCAGCCTTGGTTTTTATACTGAGAAGTAATGGTAATTTTAATCATACTGCTCATTCTGAAAGGCAGTGGTGGGGAGTAATGTGGGAAGCAATGCCCTCCTTGCTATCAGTATGAGTTGTGATTACATATCCAACAAACAAGGATCCAAGAACATGAGAAAGAAGGCAAATGACACCATCTTTGTAAGCTAATTATTTTTCAGAAGGAACACAGTCTTTCTACCTGCTTTCTATTCCTATCAGAAGAGCCCCAAATGCCCAAAATTAAGGCTGACTTTAAAATGCAGACATTTTAGGGGCGCCTGGGTGGCTCAGTCAATTAAGCATCTGACTTCTGCTCAGATCATGATCTCGCATTCATGGGTTCAAGCCCCACATCGGGCTCTATGCTGACAGCTCAGTGCCTGGAGCCTGCTTCGGATTCTGTGTCCCTCTCTCTGCTCCTCCTCCACTTGTGCGCTCTCTCTCTCTCTCTCTCTCAAAGATGAATAAACATTAATAAAATGAAATAAAAGCAGGTATTTTAGGGCTCCTGGGTGGCTCAGTTGGTTAAGCGTCCAACTTCGACTCAGGTCATAATCTCACAGTTCGTGAGTTCAAGCCCCGTGTTAGGCTCTGCGCTGACAGCTTGAAGCCTTCTTCGGATTCTCTCTGTCTCCCTCTCTCTCTCTCTCTGCCCCTCCCTGGCTTGTATTCCCCTCCACCTCTCTCTCCAAAATAAATAAATAAACATTTTAAAAAATAAAATAAAATGCAGATATTTCACGTATCTAGTTTATGTACATATAAGCCAAGTTAGAAAGCCTTCTTTTGTAAGACCCAATGGCTAAAAACTTGTGCTTGTAATAGATTATAATATATATAATATAACAACTGATTATTATTAAAGATTATTAACTAATAACTCTGATCACACTTATTACCTTGGAAGGTTTGTTGAAAAGGCAGGCACCACCCCCACTATTCAGAAAGTCATGATACTCTTCAATATTACATTGAGTGAATTTTTTAGGAAGATAATACCTAGAAGACAGAAGAAAAGCAATAATTGGGTACAATTTTAGTCCCTTATCTGTATGTTAGTCTTAAATTTGAACACTGTTAGAATTGCAACATTATTCTTAAAGATGAAAGAATAAATTCCACTTACGTACAAAATTTGTGTTAAATCCATAAGACTTTCATTCCACCAATACATTTCTAAATTATTCATTGGGTAAGTAATCGTGACTATGGGTTATTCATTGTTAGCATACACATGCAAAGGAAACAACACATACCTGTATTTTCAATCAAAGAGAGCTAGGAATACTTTATTTCATAATGAGTCTTTCTTAAATATTAAAACCAGGCTGGATCCCAAACTGCACAACATCTTACAAAGTAACTGCTTTATAATCTATGAATGTGTCAAAGTCATGAAAGTCAAAGAAAAACCAAAGAACTGTTCCAGATTGAAGGACACTAAGAGACATAAAACTAAACATGATGCTTGATTCTGAACCTTCTGTTAAAGGGGCATTTTTGAAATAGAGGGCTAATCTTGAATGAGGGCTAGGAATCAGATGATCTCCTTGGTTGTACTGTGGTTCTGTAGGAGGAGCTGGTCTGTAGGGAATGCACACTGAGGTGCTTGGGGGTGATGGGGCACCAAGTTAGCAACTTAAGATTCTAAGAAGATTCTTTGTTATTATTCTTGAAACTTTTCTTAAGTTTATGTATGTATGTACGTATATATATATATATATATATATATATATATATATATATATATATAAAGAAAGGTATACCAAAAAAAAGTAATAAAGGATCAGTAGAAAAGGAAATGTGGCTAGCGAACAATGGCAATATATATTCAGAACCTTCAAAATGAGAAATATCCTTAAATCTGATAATTCTGCTTTAAGAAATTCTTCTTGAGGAAATAACTAGCTATGTGTACAAAGATGTTGGAACAGAGGGACTTCCCACTGGAAGTTACACAATTTATTTATTACACAAGTTGTAATAGCCAACACTATGAAAATCACCTAAATGTACAGAAATAAGAAACTGCTAACTAGCCTGTGATATATTAATAAAATAGAATACCATGTAGTTATTAATAATCATGGTGTCAAAAACTACTCAGAAAAATGCTGAGTATATAATATGTTAAGTAAAAAATGAATAAACAATGACATATCCAAGATCCAAATTTTATAAAGCAAGAATAAACATGGAAAGAGAAAAAAATACTAATTAGCAGTATTTTCACATTAACCATGGCTATTACCAAATAATGAGACAAGGAGAAATTAGTATTTAATTTTCTATTTTTCAAAAATTGTTTTAATTGAACATTTTTTTCATGTTTATTTATTTTTAAGAGGAAGAGACAGGGTGCAAGCCGGGGAGGGGCAGAGAGAGAGGGAGACACAGAATCTGAAGCAGGGTCCAGGCTCTGAGCTTTTAGCACAGAGCCCCGACGCGGGGCTCGAACTCAAGAACGGCAAGATTATGATCTGAGCCAAAGTCGGACACTTAACCAACTGAGGCACCCAGGCACCCCTAACATTGAACTTTTATAAAAGTGAAACATAATTAAAAGAGTAATGGATAGTTTTTATAAAGTCTCTCCCACCAGCCTGCAAGTACGATGTCCACTTATATCCCTACTTCTTTCTACCACAAAGGTTAATGCTTTGTGAATCAATTAATGGAATTTACAATGATTATTCATCCTAAACTAATTTGTCAAGTGTTTCATGCCAAATAAAGGTATCCTGGGTTTACGTTATCTGAATTATTTTATTTCCTTCACTTCATCTTCCTAATAGGTCATGAACTTTATGCTTTATTTAAGAAGTTTGTTACACATATTACTTACTTTTTTCCTTCCATTGCCTATACCCTAGTCAAAGTTTTTATCATCTTCCCCTCTAATCCATCCTATGTATCTCTGTCTGAGTTATGGGATTTAAACAGGATTTCTTTAAGTTCCCTCTTCACTCTACTGGCCAAAACTTGAGATAGCTCCCTACTGGGAAAGAAAAAAGTGACTAATTCTTAGTGTTGGACCCCTAGTGTTGGAATCCAACTCTAGTTCAGCCTCTACCCTGCAAAGGAGCCCTCTGGGGCCTCAGCCTGGCCCAGCCTCCTGCCCACTGCTCACCTGGGGGTTTAGTCTGCTCTTAGCAGTGACAGGAAACTCACCACCTTATAGGAAAGTTCTTTCTACATATGAAGAGTTGGAATTTGTGGATTTCTCTTACCTTCACCGTGCCAAGTCTGACTTCCTATAACTGTCACACACAGTTGTGTGGTTACCTGTGTCAAATAAAACTAACTCCTCTACCATGCCATGGCTCTTCAAATACCTGAAAGCCGAAATCTCCCTAGGCTCTTCTCGGAAACTTCTTTTTTTGCAGGCTACTATATTTATTTTGAAGGGCAACTATATCTATCTATTTGCAGGGTAATGTATCTATTATAGTCAGTGCTTTCTTAAAATTTAATTTTTATATCTTTAAAGGACTGGTGGTCATTTCAACATGCTTTCCAACATTTAGGAGTACACAGAAACTTCAGAAAGTAGAAATGAAAGGGAAAGTACCCATCAGAAATACATGTCCATAATTAGTACTGTTAGGTGACGTCTGACACAGCTCAAATTTTATATAGCATTGTGCTAGACAATGTCTTACGTTAGAAGCTTTTCTCTTGCACACATCTATTTGATGTAAGAGGAGTTCAATGCAAAGAGCTATATATATATTTCTGAATGTCGCCATTTGATCTTGCTACACATTATGCTTAGTCTAAGTAGATTGTCTATAAAATTTTGTTTCTAGTAATTAAGCAGAATAATCAAATATAACATACTAAGTAGCTTTTAAAAGATAAGGACCTCTAGCTTTCAATTTAGTAATTGTTGGAAAATTACAGCTATGGATAAGGATTTTTATCATTTACTTTTATTACTAAACAGAAAATCCAAAGGTATTTTGAAAAATATTTTAATACATGTTTGCATACACATTCCCTCAATCATTTATTTTCCTTGTCATACATTTCTTGAGAGTTCAAAATTCAAATACCAATGAATATTTATTGAAAATCAAGTGTGTCAAGAGATGATGGTGTGAGGTCAAACAAAAATATCTACGTAATCTTCAAAAAGTCACAACTAATTGGTGAGTATAAGGATATATGGAATTAAACTACAACACAGGAGTTGAAATTACAATAAATCTAAAATGACTAGAAGCGTGGTTAGAGAAAAATGAGAATTCCAGATGAAGACAATATACTAAACGAACCAAAAGAAGCTGGAAACTACATTAATGGTGAGCAAATTTTTAAGAAGCTTAAAATCAACGGAGGATTATCGTTAGAAAATTAAAAAAAAAAAAAGCTGGAAACCCCTGTATAATTATGGCAATAAACAAACCGACAACCATGAACAGCAGTGGAAAATGAGGTTATAAGTGATGATGAAGAAAGATTATGCATATTTAAGTACTGGAGGAAGAAATCCAAATCTTATTCTTCAGACAATAGAGACACAAAAGTTCTAAGCAGGAAAATGATTCACACACATGAAGAGGAAAGTAGAGAAATTTGTGCTGTATATTTTCAGTGAACTAGGACTATATATTATCAGCATAGATAAATCTTACAAACATAAAGTTCAAAAAAAGCAAGTCACAGAAGACTACATATAATATGACTCCTTTCATATAAACTAAAAGTTGCAAAGCGGTGCTATGTATTACTTCAACACACACACATATACAGTGTGAAAGGTGCTTGTGAATGATACGAATCAAATTCAAGACAGAAGTTACTTTGGTTGGGGCTAGGGACCAATAAGAGAGAACACAAGGAATATTTAACTATGTAGGTGGTGTTTTGTTTGTTTGTTTGTTTAGGCTGGGTGATGGTATACAAGTGTTTACTCTTCTATGCTTTATACCTTTTCAGTAATGATGGAAATGGAGTTCAGAAGGGGAGAAAGGAAGGCTGAAAGTTGCCTGAGTATCTGGAATACTATTAAAATAATACGAGCTAAGAGCTCAAGACGGTAAGAGTTTAAAGGAGTAGTGATGAGCTTGACATGAAAAGAATGGTTGTACAACTTATTTAGGAAAAATAAATAGAAGACTGGCATCTGATAGTGTGTGAAGGGTTTAGAAATGAAAACCTTTCTCAGGACAGCAAAGTGTACACATCTCTTCCCTACTCCTTGCTTGGTGACGTACTATTGGTAGCCTGAAATCAGCAATTGTAGGAGTATTTACACCACAAAAATCTGAGAAAGCTACAAATCCAGGCTCTCTTCTTGTTTTTGATTTTGAATATCAGCTTACTAGCACATTACTGTTTACAACCCATTTAATTAGAATTGAAGAGACAAAAGAAAATTAGTAGGTAAGCCACAAAGAACACACCTGTTCCTCACTTCTTACATTTCTAGCCTAGATTGAAGCCTACAAACGTCTTTGGACTACTATCTTAACTGACGTCAATTGTTTTCATAAATGAGAAACTATTTTGTGAAAATACTTTATAATACAGAGCCATTGAGAAAATCTACTTCCGATTTTCTTTTTAAAGTCTTTGGTGAGGTTGCGCGCACTAAGTTATTTAGTATCATATTCCTAAGAAGACAACAGCACAGCAGGAAAGGGAAAGCGAGTTATTTTCCAAGAGAGGTGGCTCACCCAGTGTCTCCCATTATGCATCCAGACCACGTGTCCTCACATTTACACTCACCTAAGAGAAAATGAATACACATGCCTTGTTATAAAGTGAAAAAAGGTGCGTTAGAGTAGCCTGTTTTTAAACAGTATATTTTCACTTTATTCCTTAAATACCTTTTAAAAAGTAATACCTGTTTTCTAATTTTCCTCATATTTGAAGTTTTCTATGCAAGTATAACAACAAAAATCTACTCTGATCATATCAAGATTATATAATTTTTATAACAATAAAACCTTGATATTTGCTTCAAAATGGCTTAAAAATTCCAGGGGCCCCTGGGTGGCTCAGTTGGTTAAGGGTCTAACTTTGATTCAGGTCATGATCTTACAGCTCGTGAGTTCAAGTCCCACTTTGGCTCCGTGCCGACAGCTCAGAGCCTGGAGCCTGCTTCAGATTCTGTGTCTCCCTCTCTCTCTGCCCCTCCCCTGCCTGCTCTCTCTATCTCAAAAAGTAAGTCTTTTTAAAAAAAATTTTAAGAAAATGGTTTAACAATCCCATACCAATGAAACAGCATCACTGTAGGATTCTGGTTTCACAGTTCCTTATGGGAATTCCTACACTTTCTTGTCCAGTTTTAAAACCTCTGCACCAAAGCTGCTGGCAGAAGGTAGTATAGCATACTAGTTAAGCAGAAAGGCTTAAAACACCTGGGTTCAAAACCTGGGCTTGCCACTTAATTTATGTGTCATCTTGAAGACATTACCCTTTTGACATCTAGTCACGTTATTCTGTAAAATGGGGCTGATAATTGGTATGGTGCAGGATTATCTTGAGGATTAAACTAGTATCTAGATGTAGATAATAGTGGCATTCGGTTATGTCTTATAAAGGGTACTTCATAAATGGTAATAGTTATTATTAACAGAAACAGTCTCATTTATATTTATTATTAATACAATAAATAAGGTTCTAATCAATTCACTCCAAATACATAATATTTGACCATTCCTGATAAATTAACTTTACCTACTTGAAAAAACATATTCTTCCCTGATAGTAATCCTAGCGTATTTTACTAGATCCATATTTTACTAAGCCCTTTACGAGGTCTGATCCTGGCAGACAAGTTCTACGTCTGTGGCCATACTAAGAGACGTTTTAAATAAACCATAATAGAAGTATGCCTTAAACCTATATGCCTAAGATTCTCTACTAGACCATTTGAAATTAGCAAACTGAGCTCAATTTTTAGGTGAAATTCAACAATAAATTTATCATCACACAGCTTTAAACGTTTATTACACATGGAAAAATTTTCACCTGCAATATAAATATTACCTTATATTACTTTTGACAAAAATGTTGTATGCCCTGGCTGTTTATCTTATACTGTTACCCAAACTCTTTTGATCAAACAACTGAATTCAAAATCTCATTCTCTAAAATATTTATAGATAGTCTATTTTAAATACAACTAAACCACAAGGGTGAACTTACCACTTGCTAACTTTCTTTTGTCTGAGATAATACCAATATTATGAGCTAATGACTGGGCAAGTGTAACTGCCATTAAATCAGTTTTCCCAAACTGAAAAACAAAAACAAAATACATGTAAATACAAATTATTGTATTTAAGATGGGCCAGAGAAAGATGTCATAATATAATTGGAAATATGTAAGTTCTAAGCATCTTATTTAGCAGAGGTTAAACCAGTAGCTAAAGCTGAACTATGGAGCATTTGGGAAAAAGCTGTAAGAAATAAATCCACATTTGATAAAGTCTTATAGGGAAGCCTAGAAGCCAGAGAATCACCAACTTTTGGGTTTTGAAACTTAAGTCTAATTGTGAGTCCAAATTTTACCAGTGACATTTCTGAAAAACTTAATACTTGCATATACTTAAATCAGTCTTTCAGGTAATAATAAAAATAAAGGTGTAAATTATTTGGAACTTGTTTATCTTTGTGTATTCATCCAGTTCACTCCTGAAATTTCCCCAAATTAAACAGAGTGTGACTTCAGAAAACAAATGGTATGGGTAAAAGGAAGTGGTAATGATCTGTGGGCAAAAGAAACTTGAGAAGACCAATAAAAGATATTTTTTTCATTATGTCGATTTAATATTTTTCTTGTAGATCACTTCCATCAGACTTAGTGCCCTAAGGGTATATCCAAAACACAGTTTTCTTTGGAAAACTTAATCTATTTTTTTCTCTAAAAATTTACCAAATATTGAAGAAGGAAGAAAATTTCCAACTGGGTTGTTAGGTAGGAAGCCAATGCTTCAGAGAATTACTCAATTCTCCAGAAAATCAGCCAATGTAATAAACAGGGTTTTATTTTCAATAAAGGTAAAAGTAAAACATTTTCTCTGTATAATCTGTAAATAGCTAAATTTGCAGATTATTCTAAGGAGAACATGAACAGAATTATCAAATATGATCTTCCATTATTTTCCTATTCTTTGTCCTCTGATCATTTTGGTTGTTAATAAAACAACCTAACATCTAGAGAATGTGGAATATGAGAAATGATCTCTTAAATATTAGGAAAACATTTTCAGCCATCATACCACTTTGTATTGTACAGATGTTCACACCTACTTCATTCACGCCTCCTCCTTTCAGCAACGAGCAAATCCCACCAATATAAGCTGCCCCGCTCCGGCTACTCTCAAATTGACTTCCCCTTTTAGAAAAGGAAATGGAAAATGCTTACTCTTTGCAGTTCAAATATCATTGCACCTCTCATTATTAATTTACCACACTTATTTTCTCAACGGAAAACATTTCTATACTACATAATCCTGAGTAAGTGAGGAATGTGAATACGGTTTACACACATAGCCAAAGAAAAACGTCTGAGGGATGTTTCCCCACATGAGCAATAATATCTTAAATAGGACCATACTTATTTTAAAAACTTACTAATATGAGGTATTCTGAGGATACAAAAATCACTTCTGTGTTTATTTCTGGACAAAATACATAACTTGAATCTCTTAAGGAGAAAACATCAGACATTCCCACAAGGAGGAACATTCTATAAAATAACTGACCTACACTCTTCAAAATTAAGCCCATAATACACAAAGAAAGGCTGAGGAGATCTCCCAAATTAAAGGAGACTAAAAAGACAGGACAATTAGATGCAATGCATGACCCCGGGTTGGGTCTGAATGGGGGGGGAGGGAATTAGCTATCAAAGACATTATTCAGATAACTGGAGAAGTCTGAATATAGACTATGGGTTACTTAAAAGTCTTGTGTCCCCATTAAATTTTCTAGTTTTAGTAATTTACTCTGGTGATATAAGAGAATGTCTTTATTTTTAGGGAATATATATGTATTTAGTAGTGAAGGCCCAGTATGTGAGTATCTCCAACTTCCTCTCAAATGGTTCCAGGAAAAAAAAAATTGATAGATAGAAAAATAAATGAAGGGGCGCCTGGGTGGCTCAGCTGGTTAAGCGTCCGACTTCGGCTCAGGTCATGATCTCACAGTCTGTGAGTTCGAGCCCCGCGTCGGGCTCTGTACTGACTGCTCAGAGCCTGGAGCCTGTTTCAGATTCTGTGTCTCCCTCTCTCTCTGACCCTCCCCGGTTCATGCTCTGTCTCTTTCTGTCTCAAAAATAAATAAACATTAAAAAAAAATTTAAAAAAAAGAAAAATAAATGAAAGCAAGAAAAAGAAGGAAGGGGGGAAAAAGGCATAGAAGGACAGAAGGAATAAAATCATACACAAATGGGGCCAAATGTAAATAATTGATGAATCTGGGTAAAGAACATAAGATATTTCCTTGTAGTATCCTTGTAACTTTTCTGTAAATTTGAAATTGTATAAAACTTAAAAGTTATCTCAAAATACACTCTTTGACTTCCATTTAAACTTCCTTCAATAGTTCTTTAGATAACAGGTTTTTTATATGCTATAATATATAATTTGCTATTATATCACATATGCATTTTACCCCAAAAAAACTGAAATAGTGAGAAGAAATTAAAAATAAACTCCAGAAATACTAACGTCTCCCCTTGGAGCCAAAACAAAGGTAACATTAACATTTAAAAGAAAGAAACTTAAAAGAATATAATTAATCTGTTAAGAATATTCTTTATAATATTACCAGTACTTTTACTCAATACTCTGATTAAAATATCTTAAAAATTAAATATAAATATATGTTCAGTAATAAAATAATTCAAAATTAAACTTCTTACACTTTCATGACAATTTCAAACAACCTATACTTTAAAACTTCTTCCAAATGTATCTGCCATGTCAAATTCTAACTGCACTATACAGCAGAAAGGATATATCTCAGTCACAATAGAACATTCAACATGGAACCAAAAAAAGTAATAAATCATAAGTTACGTACGAAAAAAGGTGAACTGCATCACTTTTCTCTTTGATAAAATCCCTCCTGTATTTCATAAACTCACGTAGGGTGATCAATGGATTTTCAGATATGGCAAACTTGTTGTCAGCTGCCCAGGTTTCCATGGCAACCAATACTATCCTTGTCTTCAGTTGGTCTTTATAGATCTAGTATATTAACAAAATGAACACACCAGCTATATACATGCAGTAAAATCAAATGATTTATGAACAGGACTATAAATCTTTTATTAAAACCCTTGCATTTTAGTTAAATGTAAAAAACTCTAGTGTCTTTGAGGGAGATAATTATTTTTCTAATTCCTATGCATTTTCCTTGAGTAACAGAGAATCAAATTGTTTACCAACTAATTTCCAAAGAACAGAACACTAGTTAGAAACAAAAGATCACTTTTTGACAAATATTTGCACCCTTATTCAAGGCTCCCCCTGAGTCTATTTTCTGGCACCCTGGAAAAAGAATTTATGCATTCTTGGGTTTTCCAAGCAAAGAAAGGAACAACAAAAACACCCCAAGGATATAATTTCTATGCAACCTAACTGGTCCCAATTAAACTCACACTGCCTTGTCAAGAAAAGATTCAGAAAGTGAACACAGTAGGATTACTTAGTGCATTATTCCCAGAGACCTAGGCACTCTCTTGAAAATAGCATAACTGCTGTACTGTTTCTCTGTATCTTTGTTAAGGGCTAGGGCTCAACTTTTTATTATTCAATGTGAAAAATATAAGAAGAATTTCAAGCATAAATCCATGGGTAACTCTGACCACCGCCTTTTATCCTCTTCCCAGCCAGGGATCAAAATCAAGGAAGTCCACTGCAAGGTTACTAGGGACATAGAGGACACCTTGCCTGAAGGGCAATTCAGAGCACCGAAAATATATGAACCATATTATCCATTCTATTAGCAATCAGGAGAAGAAATTCCTCTATGGCAATACTAAGTAGAGTTGATACTTACCAAATCCGCCATGTTCACCACCGATTTTGCATATGTATTGGTATGTACAACTGAAAGCCGATGTTTTTTAAACTGAAAACAAAACAAACAAACAAGTGAAGGGTTTCCAAGGTCATCAGCAAGTAATCACCTCAGCAGACAAAAACATAAAGTAACTGAAATATCTCTACAGCTTTTTGTAAAAAAAAAAAAATGTAAGAATTGAGAATTAGTTCTTTGTATGTTGTATAGTCTAGGAAAGGCTCTTAAAGTTTGAGGCCTCAGTTGATTCAACTGTGAGATAAAATAAAAAAAATACCTATTCCATCCATTTCACAAGTTTATTTTTATCACAGAATTGTTACTCAAAATGATAAAACATGAAAGCTGTCTATGAACTGCAAGAAATGCAAATATAAGTAGGGTGGCCAGCCAGAAAAATGTACGTGAATACTGCTGTACGTATAAAAACTTACAAGTTCTACAAGACTTAATCAGTAAGAAGAAGAAAGTCCTAACGGGTCACAAAGAGGTAACTTAAAGGCTAGATGTGGATGCCATAAACCTTTTGTTTGGTAGTGTTTTAGAAACCAAGAATTATGTAAACCTGATTTCTGGCTTCCCTTAAAATTAGCATTCTCCCCATGGTGATAACTAGCAAGGCTAAGAGGCAGTTACTTCCATTAGACAGGCCATGTAACTTTGCTTTTGCCGTAGGCCTCAGCCTCCTCCCCCATTGTTTTACTCCCGGCTTATTTCACTTGTGTTACCTGCCTATAGACATCTGAATCTGTGCTGTCCTAAAACATCCAAATATACGTTTTTATAACTTAATCTGATCTTGTAAAAACCTCAGGAAATAGTAACATTCACTGATTTCAAAGAGGTAGAAAGATAAAACTTAGTTCTAGCCTGAACAAAGAAGCACCCAATCTGGATATTATTATCATTATCATTATTATTATCATTATTAGCAACAATACATGATCAATATGTTTGTTTACTTAATCATATACAAACAAATGAGACACTTTCCTTCAAATAAATCAAAGCAAATTAAAATGCACTTGTACTTGAAATTAAGTAAAAATCAGCTATGTTCATCACTGAACATGTTTAGTTTAAAACAGTGGTTACATAGAACAATTAGCATTATAATTCACTGCTGTGCTGTAAATGTAAGCTAGTGACTCCAACAAGTCCATAAGTTGAATATACACACACTCTGGGTCAAAATAAATGACTCAGCAAGAAGGAGGTTTTGCCAGGTTCCTATCCTAAAATCTTCACTGCTTGCCTATATAAGCATTTCCACATGGTTTGCTACAGAGCAAGCCAGAAATTGAAAAGCTGCTTTTCTTTTATTAGGATAAAGCTGTACATTTCAAACTAAAGTGTCACATTACTGGTGCCTCACTGATTTTTTTTCAATATAAAAATATTAATTAAGCAAATCCAAAGAGCTGACTAATTGTAAGTCAAATAAATATTTTTGGAACCTCACAAAATACTGCTAGTTACATCCACCTAAGAATGTTTCTAATTTACAGGTTGTTACTGGCTAACAAATACTTCAGCCACTTAAATGTCTTCTCCAAGTTACAATTTTCTGGGTTTCATGTTTCTTCTAAACATATTTTTGCACCAATCGGCTTTACCCACAGGGACAGACAAGTTCAAACAGCAAACATTTCAGCAAATCCTACCATGAGATGATCGTTGACAATCATCAGTTCAATATATTTGGTCTCCTCCTCTACATTACGAGGATGTCGACGAAGCTGCAATATAGTAAAGGAAATAGCACCTAAATAAGTCCTCTGAACTTAGCTGTAACTAAAAAATATGTTACACGTTATGTCACACATTTTACTGTGCCTTTTTTCCAAACTCTCCTTATTTCCCCCACTCCTAGCCTCTGACAACCACTTTTCTACTCTTTTTTGTGAGTTTGACCTTTTTTTTTTTGATTCCACATAGAAGTGGTACCATACAGTATCTTTCTTTGAATTATTTCATTTAGCATAATGTCCTCCACGTTCATCCATGTTGTCACAAATGACAGGATTTTCTTCTTTTTTAAGGCTGAATGATACTCCACTGTATATATTTACCACATTTTATTTTTTTATTTTTTTTAACGTTTATTTGTTATTGAGAGACAGAGAGACACAGAGCATGAGCAGGGGAGGGGCCAAGAGATGGAGAGACACAGAATCTGAAGCAGGCTACAGGCTCTGAGCTGTTAGCACAGAGCCCCACACAGGGCTCAAACTCACAAACTGCGAGATCATGACCTGAGCCAAAGTCCAACGCTCAGCAAACTGGGCCACCCAAGCACCCCCCACGTTTTCTTGATCCATTCATTTGTTGATGGACACTTACACTGATAAGACTGTATTGTTTAATTGAAATATATACACACACATACACATATTATATATATATCAAATCATCCCATTGTACAGTTGTACATCCCATTGTACATCCCATTGTACACACACAATCAGTGTGTGTGTGTGTGTGTATACACATTATATATATATATCAAATCATCCCATTGTACACTTCAAGTATCTCATAATTTTATTTGTGAATTATGCTTCAATAAGGCTGAAAAAATGTTTTTAATTTTAAAAAACAAAAATGTATGAGAGAAATAAAATTTCCACTTTCATTCCTTCAGAATCCTTTTTTCCATTTTCATCAGTTTTAACCTAGTTTTTGAATAGGTAATACATTTATATGGTTTAAAGAATTATCAAAAGGTTCAGGGTCAAAATCTTCCTCTCACTTCTGTTCCCTATCCACCTAGTTGTTAACCCTTCCCCCACAATTGGTATAGCACAGTTATTTGTTTCTTCCAGAAATATTTATGCATATAAAATCAAATATAACATTTATTTTACTTGGTACTTCCACTTATTTCACTAGCTTTTGCATGAGGGTATTTTCACTTACCAGTATATCTTGGAGATTATAACATATGAAGGGCATGCTTTCTGTTTAAGCTCCTGCGGATCTCTGAGAGGATACAGGGAGTATCTGATGGACACTTTTATTCTACAATCTAAAATCTGGGACTGAGAATGTCCCTCCTTCTTCTGGTACATTTTAAGGGATCTCCCAAATGATATAAGAGCTTTTGTTAGGATAGTTTTGAGAGCTTCCAGGAAGTCTTGGCTTATCTAGTACAGCTCTATTATATGTCTGTTTAACAATGAATTTTCTCCACCTTCAAAATCATGATTAGTGGATGCCACCAGTAGGAGACACGAAGGCAGCCATATGCCTTTGTTCCCTGCAGTCAGTCTATAACACAGTCTTTAACAAGATCTATAAAATTAAGTCTTAATTTTTTTTTAATGTTTATTTTTGAGAGAGAGAGAGAGACAGAACACAAGAGGGGAGGGGCCAAGAGAGAGGGACACACAGAATCTGAAGCAGGCTCCAGACTCTGAGCTGTCAGCACACAGCCCGACACAGGGCTCGAACTAATAGACTGCGAGATCATGACCTGAGCCAAAGTTGGATGCCCAACCGACTGAGCCACCCAGGTGCCCCAATTTTTTCCATTATGCTATCTTTGGTATCCATTTTTTCAGTAAATCTTTTTATTCACTTGTCCAATGGCTATTTTTGTGATGAGAGTATATAACCAAAACTAATCAATGCATGAATATTTGCTTTCAGAGCTGCATTTAAAATAAACTAAAAAAATTGCTGCCATGTGGATTTTGTTCCAGTGTTAATTGCATTCCCAAATTTTAACACTTATTTTAAAATTCAAATCCCTTATTACACCAAGTTGATAGAATTCTCAGTTTGGAAACCAAGTAGTAGTATAAACTGCATCCAATGGCCTGAGGCTTTTTAAAAGTGGATGTTTTAGGATGACAGTATCTGCTTTGTAATTGTGGAAGAGACCTGAGTCTTACCAGTTATCACAGCAGACTGTCTAACAAGACTCAACATTTTCTCAATGTCAGAGACTTGCCATATTGGCCACACAGCATTCTAGCACCTCACCTCTGTGGGTTCACAGCTGTCTCAGAAAAAGAAATCTAGTGTCTGTCTGCCTTCAAATGACTGGATATCACAGATGTTTATGAAGAACTTCAAGGAATGCGTCAAAAGAAAACTATCCTGTTCTCTGATCTCATAAGTCCTGAAAATAAATATTATTTCAAATTAAATCCTGTTGGCATCTTTATTTAACTGGGCCTCAATATGTATGTATATTCACAAAATATATAAAGCTGATGTAGCAATTCACAGAACACAAGGGCTTCTGAGAGGCAGTATATAAAGTATATATGGTTATAAAAATACCAGACTTCCTAGGTCAGAATCTGAACTCCACCACTGGATAACTCACTATAACCCTGGGCAAGTTTCTTAAGCTTCTCATGCTTCAATGTCCTTAACAGTAAAATGGGGATAATAATAATACATTCCTTATAAGATTGTTAGGAGAATCAAATGTATTAATATAATTTAAATTCTTAGAATAGGACCAGGCACAAGTAACCTGTGCCTGAATAAAAATAAGCAATTTTATTCACATTAGATCTGTGTCTGTAAACTCATACTATGTCATACTTATAAACATATTTAAACAGAAGATGATTGGTTTCTTCAACTGTGTGATCTTACTAGAGATCTATTTCCATCATCCTATGTTTTTTATGTCAAACACCCATACATAATGTATGATATTTTAATTCTAATAACCAGAGTTCTGTTCTTTCTTTCCCTCTCCTTTTCTGAGTATACTAGACATATAATGTTACATTAGTTTCAGTATACAACACAGTGATTCAACTTCTAAGTTATGCTGTGCTCATCACAAGTGTAGCTTGTCATCTGCGACCATACAGGTTATTGCAATATCAGTGACTATATTCTCTGTGCTGCCCTTTACCCCTGTGACTTGCTCATTCCATAACTGGAAGCCTGTGTCTCTCACTCTCCTTCTTCCATTTTGCCCATGACTCCACCCACTTCCCTCTAGCAACCGCCAGTTTGTTTTCTATATTTACTGGTTTGATTCTGCTTTTTGTTTGTTTATTCATTTATTTTTTAGATTCCACAAAGTGAGTGAAATCGTACGGTATTGTGATGAGCAGAGTTCTTATTATGCCTAAAGCATTCGCCAGTTCTATGATTCTGGTCATTTTCACATTCGAAGACATCATTTTTTTTCCTGTGAAAGGGGATTGATAGCACCTACTTCATATGGTGCAAAGCATTATACAAATTGTCATTATTTTTTCCAAGTCCAAGATGCACTGAACATTCATAAAGTTGACATCCTGAGTTTATATCCCAGACTCCAACATAGTTTAAGTGTGGCAACAGCATTTTGTCGCTTTAAAACCTGATGGATTCTCTTTTAAGGGGGTATCTTTACAAGTAGACCTCATGATGTGGTACAACCCAGGCCAAGGAAAGAGGCCTATGTTATAAAGAACCCGAGATGCCACAGCAGGGGCCATAATCCATCTGTAAGATGAATAACCATATTATCACCACTATCTTGAGTCCTTTTTGAGTCTATGAAACAATATGGCCCCATCTCCACTGCTCCTACAGATCCGTCACCCTTACTGTTAACCATGACAAATGCCTGAACTAATACTTAGCCATCTTGCAGAGACTTAATGTAGATTTAGATGACTGGTAGTTGCCAAGTGTTTTTGAAACATCATGGAATATCCTGTGAATACATACCTGCCGTTTACTTCTTTTTGGTGCTGGCTTCAAAATAAATTTTGGTGGAGTGATGTGTACTTGCTGAAATTCTAAAAGGAAATAAAAATAAATTAATGTAACTTGTATTTACCAGTTTTCTTTCATACAGAGGAATCAAAGTTTTACTGTCCCTTCATAGAATAAATTGTATAATTATACTTTATTAACTATTAGTAACAGTTACTATAACTGTTGATAATTAATGTAAGTTATAATTGGAAAATTAGATAATTACAATTATGTGGTTATTATAAATTTTATAATATATAATGTTACACTTAAAGATAATATAGAACATTAATCAAAATAATTGTGCTCATATTAATACTAAATACATATATCATGAATGAATATAATTAAAGCAATCTTGGGCACTATTCCTATTTTAATTTATCTCAAAATTTTTCTCATATTTCTGCAATAAATACTATCACATCCTTTATCAAGAATCTTCTAAATAGCCAACTTGACTTCCCACTACTGACCTTCATTAAAGAATGACACAGCAAACGCTGATGAAGATGTGAACAATCAGAACTCTCATATAGTGCTGATGAGTGTAAAATGGTATAAGCACTTAAGAGAAAGGCTCAGCAATTTCTCACACAACAATTGTTCTCAAAGTGAAATCCATGAACTAATGGCATCAGCATATTCCCAGCATACCTGGGAACTTGCTGGAAATGCAAACTCTCATAACCCACCCAAGATGTACTTGAATCAAAAACTGTAGCAACTGGTGCAGCCACTATGGAAGACAGTATGAGGTTCCTCAAAAATTAAAAATAGAACAATGCTAGGACCCTGCAATCCCACTTCTGGGCATACAGCCAAAGGAATTGAAATCAGCATCTCAAAGAGATATGTGCACCACCATGTTCACTGCAGCATTATTCACCATAGCCAAGACATAGAAACAACCTAAATGTTAAAGGAAATGTGGTATACACATGCAATGAAGTGTTACTCGTCCTAAAAACAAAAGAGGAAGGAAGGAAGGAAGGAAGGAAGGAAGGAAGGAA